ATCGCTGATTAAAGAGGCTGAGAGACAGTAAAATTTTCCTTTAAGCCAAAGGTATATCTATAAACAAGAATTTTCATTTAAACACTTTACTTTTAGTTTGCATAGTAACCTTGTGTGTGGAATCATATGAAAATCAAGATCACATCCACTGCAGTTCCTTGATCTATATATCTACTCACTTCTCCATTGAATGCAATTAAAGGGTTACTTTAGCGCTTGGTATAAAATATAATAAAGAAGGGCAGGGAAGGTGCGTATAGCGGGACGGATTATCAAGGCTTTCCCTTGCACATAGCGCTGCAAGGGAGAAGCTCATTACATCTTTTCTCAGCACTCCGTCATGTGTGTCAGGGGTGCAACTAGCCTATAGCACAAAAGTGCAAATTACTTCAAGTCATCAGGCTGATAGCAACACGTAGCCAAGTCCCTTTCCCCAATTTTCTAACAGCACCTCTCTTTACTATTTTCCTTTTTTTTCTTTCTTCTTCATTACCCTACAACCCTCGTTGATAGGCACCTCCCCTTAAAGGGACACCATAGTCACCAGAACCCCTGTAGTTTTTTATTTTTTTTTATCTCTTTTTTGTAAAAGTATCAAAATATATTTTATAGTACATACTTCACATTTAATACATACATATAACAATACCAGACAAAAATCTTGCTCAGGGCTTGCTAACAGAGTATGTGGTCTTTCTGACTATCTTTATATATTACTGTCCAGGGTTGTATCATTTGATTCTAATGTTATATCTTATCTATTAAATCTAGATAATATTTATATATTGCAGATTTTTTTTCTTGAATTTAAGCTAAGTCAGTCATATCCTTTTTTCATCTTCATCTGTTAACTCACTTGATGTTTAAGTTCTCCTTTATTAGGTATTATAGTCTTTTTCAATTTTCTAGCTATTAATATCTTGGTAGCCATCAACATGTAAATTGTTAACACCAACTATTTTTCTATCAGATTTCCATCAAATATATGTAATAAAGCAGAGACTGCTTTGGTATTTACTTGTGGCACTCCCATTATTCTCAAAAACCCAAAATAGATGTTCCAAAACTCTCTTACCCTCGGACACTCCCACCATATGTGAATATATGATCCTTTACTTATGTCACATCTCCAGCATATATTTGAACGTTGTGTATATATTGCCTTTAGTTTGGTGGGGACTAGATACCATCGGTTCATTACCGTATAAATGTTTTATTGTAAACTTATACAATGAATATATCTATTAGTATTATTCAAAGCATGGTACCATATTTCTAATGAGATATTGATTTTTAGATCATCATTTCATGCTTTATTTGCCGAGATTCTAATAGAAGATTTTTGTGTTTGTGTTAATATTTTGTTACATATAGAAAGTGCTTTGTCTATCTTTGTCCCCCTGAATAAGTATTTAATCTTTGATATTAAACTAACATGTTCCTTGGTTAGTGTATTGTTTAAATAGTTTTTAACTCTTAAATAGTCGAAGATATCTTTATTCTTTTTTTGGACCTCGCAGATCCTCCCATTTTGGATCTCGCAGATCTGTATAGTGGATAATGTTTATTGTATGGTTTTTGTGTTTTGAATTATTTGTTTTTATGATGGCTGTATGTTTGTAATAGGTGTCTGATGTGTATATTTGTGAAAAAAACTAAATAAAGAATTGATATAAAAAAAAAAGATTTCTTTATTCTGTATCTTAAATACTTCAACTAAATTGGCAAACGTTTTTATATTTGTCCCTTCCAATAATTTTTCGATTTTATCAATGCCCAACTCTGTCCATCTTTTTAATGTTATATCTTACATATTGCATGTTATTGTTTTTTAATCTTTAAACTTCCTTTATTGCGCATTGTGTGTAATTTATCTTTTTTTATTATTATTATTTATTTTTACTGTGCGTAGTTACATACATGCTCGTCCTGCCCCAAAAGCAGGTAACAGGCCAGAGAGTTTACAAAGCATACAATCACTTTTAGGACATTGATAGAACTTGCACATTTTTTGTTTAAAGGCTGATAATCAGGCGTTAACTATTGTAAGAATAAACTGTTTTATCTTTGGCTCATAGCTTGGTAGTTAGATTGTGTTATATCAAACTGCAAAGGCATCATAAAGGCAACACACTGTGAGCTGTGGGCTATGCTGGGTATCATGCGTATAGTGGAAGACAGCCTGTCTCCTCCTGATTAACTATGCAACAATGCTGGGTTAGGTTTCTGAGAAAGGCCTTCCAAAAAGCTAGCACTACTTTGCCATCCTGAGTATCCGCTGTTAGTGTGCTGAGTTACGTTAAGTGTGGGAAGGTTAGGTGTTTAGTGGTCCTATAGTGTGTCAGATCTATCTTACATGTATTTAAACAAAAACTGTTAAGGTCAATAGTCTATAGGTACACAATGGTCATTGTGGAAATTATAATTGTGTAGCCCGAGTACGGAGCCGGGTCGCTGGCTGTGTGCCTTTCCTTGAATCAGTCCAGACTGCTTCAGCCAATGCCCGTTCTGGAGGTCTTGTCTGCATACTTGGAATGGTGAGTTAGTCTCGCTCTCTGCGGTCCGGGTGTGCAGTGGAGGGGAGCTTCCATGCTGGGTGCAGGTGCGCAGCGTAGTTTCCCGGCTGAGATTTGTGCGGGTTGGAGTGGTCGCTGGCTGCTGCCGGTTCGAGGTGGTGGTGTAGCGATCCCGGCTGGGTTAGGTTTTACCGTCCGCCACCTTCTTGGGCTGCCTGGGTGGCTTTTGCCCTTCTTGAATCCGTGCTGGGTTGCTACCTTTCGGCAGGGCCGTCTGTGAAGCTGTGTCCCAGGAGTCCCTTTAGCTTGATGGGTGTTGTGCAGGCTATGTCTGGTAGCATGGCGTTTCCGGTTGGGCGCTGGTGTGTCGAACCCCTTCTGGTGGTGTGAGAGTGGGGTTTGTCCTATCTCTCACGTTGCCTTTGCGCGTCGGGCCCTGCAGCTTACCGCCATGTGAGGGTTCCGGTCGTGGGGACTGCAGTAGGGCCTCCAGCTTCTCCCAGACCGCCCTGAATAAGCGGTCGGATGGGAGTTCCATTTCCCTCCAGATCTTTACCAGGGGAGTGGCGTGGGGGCTGTCCGCCATTTTGTGTACTCCGCTTGTTGCCTCCGGACTTCGTGGTCCCATCGCTTGGGTATGGCTTGTCCAGCTGATCGTGTGAGGGAGGACCGGGATATCCCCCGCCGGTCCGGGAGGAGGGGACGAGGGCTCTGTGTCTTCTTTCCCTTTGTTCTAGGCGGCAGGAGAGCGGCCGCCTCTCCCGTGCCCTCCATGCTAGTAGGCCTTATCTGTGCGTCGGGTGTAGATCAGGTCGGATGTCGCATATGAGGTATCATTTTGTCTGCCCCGACTTCCCCCTTCGCTCGGTGGCTCTAGTTTTGTTGTTTTCGAGCTGTTGAGGGTTGCTGCCGCTCAGCTCTGCGGGACGGCCCCGCCCCCTGTTATTGTTTTTTAATCTCAATTTGGGTTTTAATTTATGCCAGGTTTTTTATAGGTTATCTATAATTATATTTTTAATACATTTTGTTTTAGATGGTCCCTGTATAATATTACTCCATATTAACTGCCTTAAATTCTTCTTGCCACTTATTTCACATTTCATTTTCTTTTTACCAGCCTATATAAATTTAGTGGCGTAAGACTTTGCTACATTTAACCAAATTTCAGGGACATTTTAGAGGTATATGATTAAAAATGTATGCCCATTTTTGTAGGATATAAGATTTAAAGACGTTAATCCTGCCCAACTATGATAGAGGTAGATTTTTCCATTGTTTATACATGTTATTTGTTTCATTTAGAACTTTCATGACATTTCTTTCCATCATATATTTTGGATCTGAAGTAATAATGAGGCCTATATAATTCAATCCTTTACCCATTTGCAGCTAGATCACTTTTGCAGGCAGCTAAAATCTCTATGTTTTGTTTATATACCCCCAATCTACCCAGTGAAACGCGTTTTCTGCATCTATTGATATTGTTATAAAGGATTGTTTATCTCTATCTGCATTATCTAATTGATTGATTATCCTTCTAATGTTATTGTAGGATATTCTACCCGATATGAATCCTATTTGATCTCAATGTATTATATCTGGAAGTATCTGTTTCAGTCTCTGGGCCAAAATTGCTGCCATCAATTACGCATCGGAGTTAAGAAAAGAAATTGGTCTGTAGTTTTCTGTTTTCTCTGGATTTTTCTTATCTTTTAGCTCCCTTAAGAATCCTTCTGGGCACACATTAAGGTGGGGGTTGCGCAATGACGTAGCACGTATGCACGTCATGCGCGCATCTTAAGGTGGGGTGGATCGAGCCCGCTGTGGGAATGAATACCAGCGGGATGCGTTGAAACCACGCTGACCTGCAGGATTTCGATGGTGGATGTAAGCTGAGGGAAGAAAAGGTACAAAATTTAGCAGGTTACTTCTGTGGATACCCAGAGAGGAGGGACAAATAAAGAGATTGGAGGAGCTGGGACACACTTAACCTAGGGAGGCTTGAAATCACAATAGGTCTCAGCAGGTTCCATTAACAAGTTAAGTACTTACAATACATGTTCTTAGCTATACTAAACTGCTGTAAGACTAGGATCTCCCTCTCTATTATCTATACATAGCCAATTATACATCTGAGAAAAATAGAGAAGCTATTTGTAACCCCAGAATAAAACCGAAAAGCTTATTGGAAGGGTTACTCTATATTAAGTTACACCCTTTTAAGGACTACCTGGAAATACATTGCATAAAATATAAGCAAAGGTTATTGAGCATCCTACTGGACACCATAACTGAGAGTTGAAAATCTGGTTGCTGGATCATTATATCTTGATACCTTTGCATACCGACAGTTTAAGCATGACATAAAACAGATAAAAGCATGACAGTTTTTTTCTCACCTAATGGCTCCAAGGAACAGAGGGAAAAAAATTGCAAATCTAAGCTCAGAACGAGTCCCTAATGCCAGCTTTGCTTCTCAAGCAGATGCAGAAGAACGTGTCTCTCCTACTTATTTTAAAAAATTGTCTGGATTCTATGGTGGAGACAATTAAAGAAGAAATGAAAACGAATGCAGAAGAAATTAAAGTAGAGATTAAGGCTATAGTCAATAGACTAAATAGTCTAGAAGAAAAAATTGGAGAAATGGAAGCAAAGCATGACAAGATAAAATCAATACAAATAGCTATGGATAAGAAATTCATCAGAATGGAAGATAAACTGGCAGATTTGGAAGACCGTGCCAGAAGATACAATTTAAGGTTCCGTAATATCTCGGAAGTGACCAGTGAAAGTTACAGACATATCTAGAAGATCTATATAAGAAGCTAGAAATTAATATACCAACCCAATATCCAGTAATGAATCTGTGCCACAGATTACCCAAACCCAAAGGCATCCCAGAAAAATTTCCAAGAGATGTCATAGTAAATTTCATCTCTTATCAAATAAAGGACCAAGAATACAAATGACTAAGGACTCCAAATAAGCTAGAATCTAGCTATACTAATATTCTTGTTTTCCAGGATTTTTCATACAACACCAGAATAAAAAGGAAAAGTTTCTCAGAAGAGATTAACCTCTTAAAAACCCACAATATTAAGATCCAATTGAGTTCTCCTGCCTTCTTGAGAGTATGCCTGAATGGGGCAAGGGAATCCTTTGACTCTCCCGATAAACGAAAAAGCTGGATACAACAAAAAAAACTGGACTGAAAACACAAGATGATATAAAGAAGAAAAAAGACAAGAGACAAATTCTAAAAAATATAAAGCACTTGAAGAATCCTTTTTTTTTGTATATTCACTTAATGAATAAGAAACACATAAGCTTTGAAGTTGATTATAAAAATAGGGAATGCTGCACTATCAATAGATTAGGAACATTTGCACATAAGCAACTTTATAGATTATTAAAGCACTTTCATTTCACAGTTCTTAATTTGCATTTGAGATTAGAACTATTTACCTATTCATTTACCTATCCATTTTTATTGTACTTACTTGTTCATATTTTGTTTTATTTTTTTATTTTTCTTCTCCAATGAAGGCAAAGACACCACACTTACAGGCAGTATTAGAATAGTCACCGCACAATTAGATAAATATCCGTGAGAGATGTTATATACCAATAGAGATAACCTAAATAAACACTACCCGCACTAATAGATTTTTTTAGATTAGATTAGATGCTTTTTTCTGTTTTCTTATTTATTTATTTTTATTTTTTAATAGCTTATGGGAAAGAAAGAAAAAAGAAAAAAGGGAGATAAGGAGAAGGGGAAAAAGGAGTACACTATAAATATAATGAGATATTATCCTACTTAGGAAAAATGTTCTGTTTTCTAAATCCTAATTAGCTTTATATGAGATATATTCAAATTAAGTTATATAGGAATACATGCATGTAAGCAAATTACCCAATTTGTACTATTCCATAGTTCGGATTAGAGAAAATAGGGCTGATAATAATTACTTATCTGTTTAACAATGCGTTTTACTAAAGGAGGGGGAAGGGGGAAGGAAAATAGAAAGGAGGAATGAAAGCTTCTCTTATCCTTATATAGGGGTGTCTTTAAATATGTTTATACCTATTTACTTATTTTTATATATATATATTTATTTTTTCCCCCTTCCTCCCCCTTCACTCTCTTATATCTGGTCTAAAATAGAATAGACATATATTAATACACATTCCCTGATCAGTCTCTGAATTGATCTGCCCATCACTTTGTATCTTATGATAAGATGCTTGTTCAGTAAAAAATTAAAATTACCGAAATTAAGTCTTTTAAGGTGTTGTATGAATGGTGGATCTGTTGTGGATCCTATTTTGTTGATGTTAGTTGGTTGTTTTTTAATGTTTCTATCTGCGGCGGAGTTTACATGTTTAGAATAGATTACTATGGTTAAAATAATCTCAGTCAATGCACAAGGACTAAATTCCCCATTTAAAAGAGCTACAGTTTTTTCGGGGGGCGGGGCCAAGCCAGCAAGCTGAGCAGACACATGAAAGCTGGGCTCCTGCTTTACTTGCCGATTTCATACAGATACTCGCCACAATCGAGACAATAAGCAAACCAGGGTGCACTGCCTATGTCAGGGGTGACCCGGTGATAAGCCTGATACTTGAACTGAGCGTTTTGGAGATCGGGAGCCCAGGGTGGATAGCTGCGGCCTACAGATGGCGGAACCGGGGAGAGGCGGCCGCTCTCCTCGCCCTAACATTAGAGGTACAGACCCACCAACGCCCTGCTCCCCCCCCTGGACCGGCAGGGGTCATCCCGGTCCAGCCCTGAGGGGTAACCTTCCTGCCCGGGCCCCAAGGGTGGAACCCAGCGAGCAACGAGAAGCAGCGCAACCAGACAAAATGGCCGCCGCCACGTGTGCTCGAGATACGGAGAAGCCTGACCTCGAGACCAAGCTGGACGAATTATTCGCCAGGTTCTGGAGGACAATAGCAACCAGGGAGCAACAGGCCAAGGCATGCAAACCTGTCACAGTGTTGCCAGTTAACTCCCAACAAGAGTGCACACCTCCTCATGTAAATAAAGTCCACAAACAGCACCGTGGACGGCAAAAACGAAGAGCCCGAAAGCCCAAGAGACTACCACTGCCAAAGGCGGCGACCCATCACAGCAAGTGTCTGGCGAAATTAAACCTTCCTGAGAGGCATGAACAGACGACTCTGCAGCAGCGGAACACTGCGTCAAATAAAGAATGGACACGGCCGGGGGATCACGGGCAGACCATGACTCAACTCCTCCGCCGACATCATCCAGAGGTGTATCCTCACCCGGGCAGACCCCGGAGGCAGCACCATGAGCCGCAGCACAGCACCTCACACAGGCTACCCCACGATAGCAGGTCCACTTCACCGGAGCGGGGCTCTGATCTCGCAGTCGCACAGACCTCATGCATCATACGGAGTGGCTTGCTATACTATACCACCAAGCAGATCCCTGCAACCAGGCAGCAGGCCTTGAGATCTGGAGTCGGCTAGGGGACTACCTTAAAATGGCTACCGGAGTCCAACACCTACTTTGGGTTCTGCTGGGACACTTGCGGACTTTACCTACACTGCGGACATATTTTATATAGACAGCAGAGGACTCTATTTATGGCAAAAGAGCAAAGTTTGCCTTGATTTTATACATGTTGCTTCTCTTGTTTGTTTTGCTTATTTTTTGCTTTTGTTTTTTTTTGCTCTATATCTGCCGCATATCTGTAAGTACACACTAAGTACTAACCCCAATGCCCAATATCCTAATAGCGCTGGGTACTTGCAATTTAACTTAGCATACAACTCTGCTCATGCTGGGGGCCGTGGTGGTGGTGGTGGGGGGGAGTACCACTCAGGACCTAGCGATTACATGCCGAGCCTCTCCTAGCATAGCCTCAATATCCTGTTTCCAAAATTAGTTTAGCATACTTACCTTTGTGATCACTAATCTATAGCCTTAATGGCTAGGAAGGCTCTAGTTATTCGTAAGTTTAACATCTATGTAAAGGTAGACACATCAGCCTGTTATGATGATGTTCAATTCAACATGTTACTAACCTATGTCAGTCACGTCAATTTACCTCTTGTAAACATACCTATTGCTACTGCCACTCGCAATGACTAACCTTATGGTTTACTCAGCATTACTCTAACGAAAAAAAAAGAAATGTGCAGATAATATTAATGCATCAACTGTTATGCCTGAAAATATGCTCGAGGATTGCTATTGGGGCACCACGAGTCTGTATGTTCTACACTCAAAGCACAATAAAAATAAAGAATTTAAAAAAAAAAAAAAAGAGCTACAGTTTTAACTCATCTGATAAAGGAAAGGGTAGACATATGTTTTCTACAGGAAACTCACTGGAGGGATTGTGATGGGATGCTGTTGAAATCCCAAAGTTTCCAAAGGTGATAATGGCTTCTAAACAAAGTAAAAAGACCTGTGGAGTTGCTATGCTTTTCTCAGACAGACTAAAAAGTAGAAATACTATATCAGTTCTGAGACAATGAGGGTCGTTATTTGATTCAATTGTTGTTTGCCTAATCAACGACATTAAGTATACCTTGGTAGATATATATCTCCCAAATAACACCCTAACTTGTTTATTGAAAAAGATTCTCGACAAAATGGAGGAAATCAAAGAGGGTATATGTATAATCGCTGGTGATTTTAATTCTATTCTAGACCCAAATATGGATTAAAAAAATGCCTGCAGGGATTAAACCAAACAAATTAGTTATAAACAAGCTAAAATTTTGAATAAAAGTAACAAATAGAAAAGGCTGCGGCACATAAAATAGAATAAAAGAAAACAAAGTCCACGTAATAAGAAGTCCAACTTGTATGTTCTTAAGGATAGTCTTTTTAGGAGGCTGGTACAGTGGTAGGGTCTTCAGATATAGTAGTGGTTCCACTTATATAGAAGATTAAAGAGAGGGACAACCAATAGTGCAATATGTATAGCTCAAATATGGACGTAGTAAAAAATAATGGTAGAGAACTCACATTTACAAGAGCTTATATCCAGCTCTAGGGTAAAGCGCGTATAGCGGTATAATCCCCGCTTATGGATATGTGGTGTGTACCTCTCCGTCAATGGTGTCTAGTTCTCAGGAAAAAAGAAACAACCAATAGTGCTCACTGTATAGCAGTGTTGGTATAAATTAAATAAAAACGTACTTACAAGTAGAGAGCAGGCGGACTGCTCTGTGATATCAGCATAAGTGGATTAATCCCCACCTAGGATTTCTTGGGGTGCAGGAAGCTTCCAAATATTTATAAAACCAAAATGGTTAAAAGGTTAAATAAAATAATAAAAAGCCAGGGTAAAAATAAATAAATAAAAAAGGTATGTGTAAAAAAGATAATTGGCACAAACAAATGACCAAATATACTTTTAATACAAAAATACACAATATAAAATTTCCATAACGCGTTTCGTCAAAGACTTTTTCAAATGGAATAACATATTTTGTCTCTGAAGACCTTACCACTGTACCAGCCTCCTAAAAAGACTATCTGTAAAGACATACACGTTGGACTTCTTATTACTTGGACTTTGTTTTCTTTTATTGTATTTTATGTGGCACAACCTTTTCTATTTGTTACTTTTATTTATCTTGTTTTAAAGGGTTTTTGAGGGATTCCCCTTTAAGGGTTGCTGCCTATCAGTTGACCAGCGCTGTCTCATCCATTTACCATTAAAATTTTGAATAATCTACTTTTTCCTCATAATTTCTTTGACGTATGGAGACTAAATCACCCATTTGACAGGGATTATACCCATTTATCCAAAGTCCACATGTCTTATTTGAGAAATGATGTGATTTGGGGAAACTCTCTACTTATTGATGAGTTTAAAACAATAGATATTATAGACAACTTATGGTCTGACCATAGTATTTTAAATATGGAAATTCAGAACACGTTTCCACAATTAAACAGAACTGCCTGGAAGCTTAATGATTTTCTTGTGAAACATGAAAAACAATTAAAATACTTGGAACAGAAAATAGAACATTTCTTTCTTGATAATAATCTCCAGGACACATCCCCAATTAATACTTGGTGTGCCTTTAAGGCTGTCATGTGTGGGCACCTCATTAAGTTACAGAGTAGACCTAATAGAATACAAGGCTTACAAATATCATTCTTAAATAAAGAGTGATAGCTCTAATTCCGGGGTCGTAACCACGACCGCTGAATGAGTGCTAAAAGTCCTGAAATTACTCTTCCGAATGAGGGAATAACCCTCGAATAAGAAAACTCAGAATAAAACAAAAAAAATAGGGCCACAAGAGTCCTAAAGTTAGAAGAGTAATATAGAAGAAGGGGAAAAGGGGGTCCCTACCTTTAATAAACCTAAGGATACACACAACAAGACAGGTGGGAAGAGGTATAGCCAAAAGAGAGCCCTCCAGAATAGACACAGGAAACCAGTAACTAAAAAGGACCCTGCTTACTAAATGTCTAAATCCTAGAGTTCAAATGGTACGCCCTCTAAATCTCCCAGCAACAGGGACCCTAATGGAAAAAAAGGTAAATAAAAGGTTAGGAGAGGGAGCAAATTAGAGGAGAATGCCCCCCAAAAAATAAATAATTATTGGGCAAAAATCCCTATAGAAAGCTGCTATCCCTCATTACCTCGGCACTGTGATGAATCACCAGTGCCTACCAAAAAACTAAGTCCCTGCCTGTCAAAGATTAATAGTAACTGATAAAATAAATTAAATTAAATTAAATTAAATCAATCCATCAGTGCTACCAAAAGTGCTAAACAAAAAAACAAAATAAGGAGAAGCTCGATGCGCGTTTCAGCGTTTCAACACGCCGTCGTCAGGAGCAATAAACTTTTGAAGTTCCCGGTAGGGATTTAAATACACCTTGTTGCAATCTGCAAAGAATAAGAACAGCTGTTATGACCCACGTGTGCGGCCGTTCATACTGTATGCTTATTGGTCGGTTGCCCCTTATGTCCGCCTCTTATCAACCACGTCATATGACGTGGTATTAAAATGATTAGAAGGGCGTGGTAATAAGATTCAGGCAGTACCCACGTGGGGAAAGTATGAAGTTAATTCATCCGCAGAATTTAGAGTTCATTATGACACATTTTAAAGCCTTATTGGAGTATAAAGCTAAGGGGAGATTAGATAGTAATAGTAACTTGTAGTTCGTAAGAGCCCGGTTTGTATGCACGCATACTGGCTGCCAATTGGTCCAGTACCTATCCCGCTTGCCCATCTAACGATTGGGTCTGCCACTTGTCAATCACATCATGTGGTGTGATAACGAAAAGAATAAGAGTAAATGGGTACAGTATTAAAGTATACCCCCATGAGACCCAAATCAGGTTAATTGTTCCGCTAGAACTATAAATTAGTTGCGGTATACTAATTAAATTAGTGTACTAATTAAAGCACGTAAGGATCTCTGGATATAAGATAGTATTAGTCACCAATGGGTGATCTCGAACTCTGACTGCCCGTTATTCTATTATCTTATAAGTCTACCCATCTGCCAGATGTGATACTGGTATAAATAGATGGGCATAATGTAGCAGATAAGCTATAAAAAGTGCCCCCAAATATAGATATGAAATAGCGAATAAGGGATTCTTATAGGTAAAAGTCA